ATGTTTCAACTGTTCTTTTTTTTTCGGTCGTGGGGCTTGAACTCTGGGCCTGGGTGCTGTCCCTCAGCTCTTCAGCTCAAGGCGAGTGAGTGCTCTACCACTTGAGCTACAGAGCCACTTCCGGTTTTCTAGTGGTTTATTGGAGATAGGAGTCTCACGGTCTTTCCTGCCCGGGCTGGCTTTGAACCCGATCTTCAGATCTCAGCCTCCTGAGTAGCTAGGATTACAGGCGTGAGCCACCAGCGACCGGCTTTGTTTTTGTTTTTTTGTTGGTCATGGGGCCTGAACTCTGGGCCTGGTCACTGCCCCTAAGCTCTTTAGCTCAAGGCAAGCTTTCTACCGCTTGAGCCACTTCCTCAACTATTCTTTTAAAGCAGTATTAACTTGCATAAAAAGTTTTTCACTGGTCTTCAAATCTCCTATAAGTGTACTCATTATAAACTTCCTTTAAAAACTATTCCATTTCAGCTGGGAAGGTGACTCAGTGGTAGAGCGGTAGAGCGCTTGCCTTGCATGCATGAGGCCCTGGGTTGGATTCCTCAGTACCACATAAGCAGAAAAGCTGGAAGTATAACTCAAAGCTGTAGCTCAAATGGTAGAGCGCTAGCCTTGAGCTGAAGAGTTGAGGGACAGTGCCCAGGCCCAGAGGTCAGGCCCCACAACTGACACACACACAAAAAAAAGAAATCATCAAATTCAAAACTTGTAATATGTGACTATATAAATCTCACCCTAAAGATAATAATAAATAGAGTTTATAAATAAATGCAGAGGCTGGGAAGGTGGCTCAGTGGTAGAGCGTTTGCCTTGCATGCCTGAGGCCCTGGGTTCAACTCCTCAGCACCATATAAGCAAAAGGAAAAAAAAAAGCCAGGTGCTGGTGGCTCACGACTGTAATCCTAGCTACTCAGGAGGCTGAGATCTAAGTATCTCGGTTCAAAGCCAGCCTGGGCAGGAAAGACCGTGAGACTCCTATCTCCAATAAACCACCAGAAAACCAGAAGTGGCGCTGTAGTTCAAGTGGTAGAGCGCTCGCCTTGAGCTGAAGAGCTGAGGGACAGCGCCCAGGCCCAGAGTTCAGGCCCCATGACCGACAAAAAAAATAAAAGCCGGAAGTGGTGCTGTGGCTCAAGTGGTAGAGCACTAGCCTTGAGCTGAAGAGCTGAGGGACAGCGCCCAGGCCCAGAGTTCAGGCCCCATGACCGGACCCCAAAATACATAAATAAATAAATAAATAAATAAATAAATAAATAAATAAATAAATAAATAAATAAATAAATGCAGATTTAGCCAAAGGTACCACCTGAGTTAACAATCTGGTAAAGTCAACATATTAGTCCGAGAAAAAAGCCTTTACTTTAAATCTAAATGGCTACCACAAAGGGCTAGGAATGTAGCTGAGGGATAGAGTGCTTGCCTAGCATTTTCAAGGATCTCAGTTCAGTTTCAGCACTAAAGATAGAAAAATAGTAATAATAATCATAAGGGCAAAAATGCCTTTTACTGAGCTAACAAAATGCCATTTCAACAACAAATACCCATGTCAAGCAATTTAACAAATCTTTTTTTTGGTCGGTCATGGTTCTTAAACTCAGGGTCTCTGGGCGCTGTCCCTGAACTCTTCTGTTCAAGGCTAGCACTCTACCACTTGAGTCACAGTGCCACTTCCAGTTTCCTGGTGGTTAACTGGAGATAAGAGTCTCATAGACTTTCCTGGCCATGCTGGCTTTGAATCGCCATCCTCAGATCTCAGCCTCCTGAGTAGCTAGGATTACAGGCATGAGCCACTGTCACCCGGTAACAAATCTTTTTAAACAAATGGTCTATTTCTTACTTCTTTTCACATGCCAAACAATATTACATTGATCCACAAAAATTCAAAATTACCTTAATAAGAGCTTTTTTGGTGAGTTTCTGATTAACTTCAGGCTTATTCAATATGTTCTTAGCTCTGTGAGCATATTCCAATGTACTCAAAGTTTCCTGTCATGAAAAGTCAATTATTGAAGACATTATGAGGATAATATACTTCTGCCACCTAGAAAGTACTGTATAACCAACAGTCATTTATGGCTATATTTAATTTAAAAATTCATTCATTAAGGTAATATCCGACTTTTTTAACCTTCCTTTTTTAGCAACTTCTTTCTTATTCTTCTGTCCAACTTTATCTTTTCTATTTTTTCTGAATAATTTTATATGGTAAACTGTTAAATAATTTGCATTTTAATGTTACAAACCTTTTTCAGTGATTCCTCTTTTATTTTGTATAGGTCTATATGTGATGTGCCGAATGAAAGAAGCTGGTAAATGAACTTTCAAATGCTTTATAGATAAATTATAGTTCCTGTTCTTGTAGCTTCCTTTCAAAAGGCTTACCTCCAAATTGAAAGATGCAGGAGAAATTGTTGCAATTATAGATGTTTTTGTTCGTCCCCCAAGGGAATCTTGGAGGATCCTAGTTAGTTTAGACTCTCGGTAAGGAACATGAGGGGTTCTTTCTACAAGGGCAGTAATGACTCTCCCCAAAGTCAATAGTGATTGATTGATATTTCCAGCTTCTCGAGCTCTCTTGTCAACAGCTCCAGAACGACCAATGTTTTCACTTCCTGCAAGATCAACCTTTGATTTTAAAAATAAGAAGTTATTATACTGGATTTGGATCCAAAGACTTTTATATCCAATAGCCAATCCTGGGGATTGAACTCAGGGGCCTGGGCACTGTCCTCTGAGCCTCTCAGTGCTCAAGGCTAGCACCCTACCACTTGGGCCATCCTACCCCTTGGGCTGAGTAGTTTATTGGAAATAAGAGTCTCATAGAGCCGGGCGCCTGTAATCCTACCTACTCAGGCTGAGATCTGGGGATCATAGTTCAAAGCCACCCCAGGCAGGAAAGTCTGTGAAACTCATCTCCAATAAACCTAGAAAACCAGAAGTGGTGCTGTGGCTCAAGCTGTCGAGTGCTTGCCTTGAGCTGAAGAGTGCAGGGACAGCGCCCAGGCCCAGAGTTCAAGCCCCATGATTGACAAAAAAGAAAAGAAAAGAAAAAAAAGAGTCACATGGAGAAGCTGGGAAGGTGGGTCAGTGGTAGAGTATGTGACTCACATGCATGAAGCCCTGGATTCCATTCCACAGTACCAAGTGGCACTGTAGCTCAAGTGATAGAGCGCTAGCCTTGAGCTGAAGAGCTCAGGGACAGTGCTGAGGCTGAGTTCAGGCCCCACCAAAAGAAAGAAAAAAAAAGTCTCATGGACTTTCCTGCCTGGGCTGGCTTTGAACCATGATCCTCAGATCTCTGCCTCCTAAGTAGCTAGGATTACAGACATGAGCCACCCCAGTGCCCAGAACAAAATTTTCTATAACAAATTTCTTTTCCCATTACCCAGATAATGACCATGTGTTTACAAAATATTGTTCATAAGTATAAGACTTCAAGTTGCTCTATGAGACGAACAAGATAAAACAGTAGTAATTAAGGTGGATGCTTACCAAGTTCAGCTTCCCAATTTTAACAAGCTCTTCTCCATCAATTGTTGTTTCTTTCATATGTATTGTAACAGAGAAAACTGAGTGGGAACGACTAGAAAACAAGATAAAGTTGCCTGTTCATTATAATGTAAAACATTTTTGCCTCCTATAAAATACTAAAAGCAGGAAAGATTTAAAGCCATAGAAGAAATTATCAAACAGAAAATATAAAAAACATGGGGGGCCGGGGGGGAGGCTGGGAAGGGATGGGAAGGGGAAACAAAGGAGGAGGCTACAATGCTTGATAAGAAATGTACTCATGGGGCTGGGAAGTTGGCTCAGTGGTAGAGCGCTTGCCTTGCATGCCTGAGGCCTTGGGTTTGATTCCTCAGCACCACATAAGAAAAAGAAAAAAGCCGGAAGTGGCGCTGTGGCTTAAGTGGTAGGGCACTAGCCTTGAGCGGAAGAGCTGAGGGACAGCGCCCAGGCCCAGTTCAGGCCCCACAACCGGACCAAAAAAAAAAGA